CCAACAAAACACTGTCAAGAAGACTCCACTCGCTCAGGGCTTCCTCCACTCTCTACAGGGAAGGAAGTGGTCAAATAGTGAATGTATCAACAAGATTCTATTAAGTTTTCAAGAAAGTAGCAGAAATAGGGCAGGAAAAAGACGACCAGACTCATGAAGTAACTGCAAGGCTACTATGACCTAAATAATGACCCTCTAATGGTGGTTCATCATTCCCATAATGCCCTTGTTCTCCCAGACATGCTAAGGCATAATACCTCCACGACAGCAAGTGGGCAGAGCACCTCAAACCAAGCACAGCAAATATCCTTCAACTATTTCTCCATTACATGTCTACAACTGAGAAAAGTCAGAAATTGAGAATCCTTCAAATGGTCATAACACAAACACAGCACTGGGAAACAGATGGCCCTTCCCAACATTATCTCAGATACGTAAGCCTGGGAGCGACGTCTTAGGGTGTTCTTCTGACAGTGGACACAGACTCATCTTTTCTTCTATGTTCTATATGAAAAAACTCTAACTGAGGAGAAGTCTGTGGTGTAGCCGCTAGGTAAACTATATGAATTTAATGAGATCTGCCCCACACTCATCTCACATTGGCTGCTGAGGTCTGTGGCTTTGTTCTAGAATGGCTGAGGTCGGAGGCTGACCTCAGAGAAGTAGAGAGAGAGCAGGAGCTCCCTAGAGACTGAGAACTGGCGTTTTCAAAAATAACAGGTTCTTTTGCCACCGGGAGAGAACAAGGTTTATCCATTACAAGTCCGTGATTTCCTCTTGCGGCGATGTTGTTAAACAGTAAGAAACAACCTATTACCAACACTTCCCAACGACATTGACTGAGAGCAAAACCCTGCACACCCGAGGCTTCTCCATGACACACAGCACAGCTGAAGAAAGGTGACAACGGGGCACACAGACATCCTTGGAGCAAACACAGTGGCTGTCAACATTAAAACCACATTTTACCAAATCATACATTATCAGGCCAACTTGAAAAGTTATGCCATCTTATAGAGCAAAGTTCCAACCCCCATCAATAACTACAACTCCATCGTTTTCAGATATGTTTGTGCACGGATCTTTACAGCAATATCAATCCCAAGAGGTCCTGGGTTATAGGACCAGGAAGCTTCTGTAGCCAGCCCTGAGCGACCTGTGACCTAAATCACTGAGAACTGTAGACTACATGAATATACAGCCAGAATCTATGTTTCCAGAGACTTCATACAGAATCACATGTGAACTTAGAGACCTCAATGTAAGGCAGACTCAGACTGGGCGCTCATTTTCATCTTACAGAACGCTTCCTCTTTACCACGGTTGACACACTTAAACTGTGGGACTAGGTAGGGGCCAGCACTGGCTGCTGTGCTGCACCTTCACCAACAGCCCCTCTGGGGCTCTTTTCAGAGACTCCGACCCCTTTTATGCCTCGAAACGCATGACCAATTTCATGTGCCAACACAAAGTACAGCCCAGTCTGGGTTAGATTCCGTGCGCTGATCCTGCTGAGGCATCAATTCCCCGAAGAACTGAGCTCAACGGCGCTGGTCTCTTCTTAAACATGGCTGATTCTGTGCTCTTAGCTGACTAGTAGTGAAAGTCTCACTTCAATGATTCCCAATTCAAACATAGGGTGCCCCAGCAGAATTTTAAAGGGACTTCACTGCCTGCACTGCTCTTAGCATTGTCTTCTACCTTCCCATAATAGTTCACTGGGCTCTGAACGTTTAGTGGCTTCTCCAGACCAACGTTCTTCCAGAATCCTCACACAAGTACAGTCACGTGGCACAGCAACATTCTCTGGTACCAATTTGTCTTAATTGGGGCTTCTACCTGCTATGATAAAACACCATGGGGAAACTTGGGGATGAAAGGGTTTATTCTGATTATACATCCGGATCACAGTCTATAACTGAAGGAAACCACAACAAGGACTCAAGGCAGGAGCTGAAGCAGACTACACAGCAAGTGCTACTTACTGGCCAGATGTTGAAATAGGAGCGGCGGGCTACGTTCCCAGCACCCAGACGCCCGCACGGCTAGCTTTATACCCGAAATAATTACACGGAAACTGTATTCTTTTAAACACTGCCTGGCCCATTAGTTCCAGCCTCTTATTGGCTAGCTTTTACATATTGATCTGACCCATTTTTAATAATCTGTGTAGCCCACGAGGTGGCTTACCAGGGAAGATCTTAACCTGTATTTGTGTTGGGTGGGAGAATCATGGCGACTGCCTGACTCGGCTTTTCTCCCAGCATTCTGTTCTGTTTACTCCGCCTACCTAATTTTCTGTCCTATCAGGCCAAGCAGTTTTCTTTATTAGTTAATCAATGAAACTAACAGATAAGATACAAGACCCACCTCCATCAGCCAGATCCTCATGGCTCACCCAGCCTGCTTTCTTACAACACCCAGAACCACTGGTCCAGGAGCTAGCCCCACTGCAATGGACCCAACTGTGTCAGCCATCAATCAAGGAAATGCACCACAGGCGTGCCCAGGGTACAGTTTGGGGGGGGGGACGTTTCCTCAGTTAAGTTCCCTCTTCTGAAATGACACACAAACTACCCAGGCACAGCAGGTGTCAGCTGATCCACTTCACCCAGCAAATGTGCTGTTTTCAGGTTCCTGAGCACCTCAAGATGCTATGACCACAGCAGAGTCAGGCCAGAAGCCCAAGCGTTCAACACTTAGATACTAAAGCATGATAATAGTGACAATTATCCCTACTCCTGGAAGTTTAGCATGGTCTCTGAAGTCAGGAAGAAAACACAGGTGGTGACCTAATGCTACAAAATCCAATTCACTTTCCCCTAATAGCCTTGGTGTGTTTTCTTTTTTTTTTTTTTAAAGATTTATTTATTTATTATGTATACAACATTCCTTCCATGTATGCTTGTATGCCAGAAGAGGGCACCAGATCTCATTATAGATGGCTGTGAGCCACCATGTGGTTGCTGGGAATTGAACTCAGGACCTCTGGAAGAGCAGTCAGTGCTCTTAACCTCTGAGCCATCTCTCCAGCCCCTTGGTGTGTTTTCTATTTAATGATTTTTAACTCTTAAGCAGAGAATATTCCATCTCCTGTAACCATGGGGCACTTCTGTAGACGCATGAACGGGGAAGGATCAGAATGAAGGCTGATGATGCGGCAGGATCATAAGAAAGGCGTCAATGCGCTTACGTGAAACTGGTCACCACAGAATAAAAGCAGCGAGCAAGCTTGGTCTTTCAAGACTTCCACTAAGAGCGCAGAGCTGGCCATGGCTCCCCAAGCTGACAGCTGCTAGAAACGAAGACTTAGGAACCGGCTGGGTTTGTTATTGTTTTTAACACAGCTGTGTGACTGCTTTCTGAGAAGGCAGCAAATTCACCTGGAGCCACCGTGGGACCACGCTGGGGAGAGGTAAGCATGCTCCACTCAGTTCTGCAAGGTCAGCTGACTCACTGGCTCCCTCCACTTGGCCTACACACCCTAGGAGCAGAGCGGGAGGAGAGGGAGGTGTCCCTATTGTGCCCTGGCTCTTATAAGGTCTTAAATTTCCATGTGCCCATCGCAAAAATAACAGAACTCTCTGCAATGCTTTATATTTTAAAAAGTCAGCTGAAGTTTTACACACATTCCATTTGTTAATCATTTTCTTGGGCAGTGAAAACCCCTGCCAGCGTGAGCCCCATGCTGAACTTTGAATGGCAGGTTTCCTCTCAGACCTGACAATTAAAAGCAGAATGTTTGAAAACATGGGAAAAGATTTTTAATTTTCCTTGTGATAAATAAGAATTTGAGTTTTCTTGTTCTGTACTGCCCGTTTTTTCCAGAATAAGCATATTATTTTAGAACTATACACCCTGGCATTTCCTCTGGAGAAGGGCTTTCGATCCACTGACATACCCTACTGTTGGCACATCCAGGAATCCTGGCCACGGTGTGCTTTGTGCTGAGGACACTACAAAGGCCCAGCCAGCACTCCACACCCTTCTCACCTTAACAAGAGACGCTGCTCCTCTGTCTTGTCTCGCGACATATTCAGGCAACACACATGTTAGATAGCTAAGTATAAAAAAGCATGGGCTGCCCACCCTGCTCTACAGGAAATGTGGTTGGATCTCTCACCCAGGATACTCTACAGGAAATGTGGATCCCTCACCCTACTCTACAGGAAATGTGGGTCCCTCACCCTACTCTACAGGAAATGTGGGTCCCTCACCCTACTCTACAGGAAATGTGGTTGGATCCCTCACCCTACTCTACAGGAAATGTGGGTCCCTCACCCTGCTCTACAGGAAATGTGGTTGGATCTCTCACCCTACTCTACAGGAAATGTGGGTCCCTCACCCTGCTCTACAGGAAATGTGGTTGGATCTCTCACCCAGGATACTCTACAGGAAATGTGGATCCCTCACTCTGCTCTACAGGAAATGTGGATCCCTCACCCTACTCTACAGGAAATGTGGGTCCCTCACTCTGCTCTACAGGAAATGTGGATCCCTCACCCTACTCTACAGGAAATGTGGGTCCCTCACCCTACTCTACAGGAAATGTGGGTCCCTCACTCTGCTCTACAGGAAATGTGGATCCCTCACCCTACTCTACAGGAAATGTGGTTGGATCCCTCACCCTACTCTACAGGAAATGTGGGCACCCAGCGCCCAGGACAACCCAGGACTAAGATCAGCAAGTCAGCAGCAGGTACGGAGACGGCAGGTGTTTCCTGGTCCGAATGCCCCAGAGTTTGACATCAACCTACCTCCAATGACTAGACATAAAGCATTGTCCTAACAAAACCAACGAAGTCCATTTCCCAGATTCTCCAGATCTCTATCTGCGAGCACCTTCCATAGCTTTACCATGGAATCAATGATCTGATGTCAGCATCACAACAGAGAATGCTGCGTCCAGTTCATCCCAGACTAAAGTAGGAGACCACTCTCTGCACCATGTGGCACACTCACCACGCATGTCTGGAAACGAGAGCATGTTTCCTGCTCACCTGAAGCTCGCGGTATCTGGCTTGAAAGGACAGGGCATCCTGCTCCTTCTCCTTCAGGAAGTCCTTCTCCAGGACGCTGTGCTTCTCCATCAGTGAGTCCACATCCTACAAGGAAGCCAAACACAAGCTCTGCTACGTCCCATGGCATAAAGTAAACATCGGGAAAAATAGCTGAAAGTCTAAGAATTATACAAGTATGAATTTGCCCAAGTTAACTAATTTCTAAGCCAATATCGAATATTGACGTAAGAGTAAAACTAATAAATATGCAAGACTGAGGCTGGGGAGGCAGCTCAGGGGGTACACTGCTCGCTATCTAAGCATGAGGACCTGAGTGTAGACTGTCCACACATTACCCCCACACACACATACACACATACAGACAGACAGACACACACACACACACACACACACAAAGCCAACGGTGTCCACAGGCATCTACAACTCCAGGACAGAGAGACAGAGACTGGGGTATCACAGAGTCCCCCAGGCCAACCACCTCAGTGAAATGTGAGCTCTCTACGTCAGGAGGAGAGCAATAGATGAAGGCTTCCCGAACTGACCTCTGACCTCCAGAGAACATATGGGCATGTCCTGCTACATGCATGCAACCATGTACATAGGTACACAGCACAAACATAAAACAAGAAATAAATAAGAACAAGAGTGTCTCTGAACAGAACCTAATCTCTGTAAGTGCTTTCGATGAACTGGCTAAGATAAACAGACATGCATACGGGTAGACAAATGGATGGAAGCAGACTGAAGAATGTAGAGAAAAGATAACAGATGACAAATAATAGAAGATAGGTAGATGGATAGACAGACAGACAGACAGATGGAAGGACAGAAGGGAGCCAAGAGCATATGTCAGTTTCTTCCCTGAACAGCTGTGTTCAAACACCCAGGGGTACCTGACCTCCCACAGGTAGAAGGTTTCCATCCATTTCATCAAACCTGAAATCCACACATGAAGTAAAACACTGCCTACAGAAACAGAAGCCTTAGAGGAGCAAGAAATAACAACAAAAAGCCCCAGAAAAATCTGAGCATGCCTTAGAACTGCATTCAACTTCCGAGTTCATATGGGTCCATGCTGACACTAAAGTCTCAGGATGCTCAAGTTCTTTATAAAAAACAACATGGTATTTTCTTATAACCTATACTTAGCATACCACAGACACTAAATGATCTTCAGCTACTTGAAGTATGCACAACGGAAATCATAAACCTGCTGTGCTGCTGTGGCAGCGGAAATGCAGGTCTGTAAACAAGCACCTCCAGCAGAGAGAAGGGTGTCCCCGAGAGTCCCCGTGTCTGGCTGGTGGGATCGGATGCTGGATGCATGGCTGTGCTAACCACTGACTAGAGACCTGTTCCAGGTTTATTTAGTTTCTGTTATTTATGGGTGTTTGCCTGCATGTATGTATCTATGTACACAACATGCATACAGGACCTTTGGACGCCAGAAGAGGGCATGGAGCCGGAGTTACAGACAGTTGTGAGCTGCCATGTGAGTACTAGGAACAAAACTTGGATCCATTTGCAAGGACAGCAAGTGCTCTTGATCACTGGGCCACCCATCTCTCTAGCCCCTGACTGGCTGCTTCTTGTAAGGTGCCTCCACTGAGTGTCCGATGTGACGGACCTGAACCCCACCCCAGGGAACACAATATATTCTTTGGTGAATTTCCAATTCACTTTGCGTTGAACTGGATATCAAATTGCTAGCAAATACGAGTCTACATTCCCGGGCGAATGTGTGCGCACACCTTTTTAATTCTCTGCTTTTCTTCTTCAGACGCTTTGAGTTTGGTCTCCAGACTTGATATTTTTTGCTGGAGCTGTGAGCTGGACACGTCGGCTCCAGGACCCTCAGGGTCGTCCTCCAGTGAAATCGCTCCATGGCTCGTCTCATCCGTCAAGCCAAGCGGGAAAAGTGGGATATTCAGATGTGTGTGTGCTGACTGCTGGATCTAGACCATGGTAACAGAGAAGGGTTAGACCATTCCGTCAAGGAGATGTTCATCATAAACCACACTTAGAAATAAGCTGGGGTGCAGGCAATGAAATCATTTCCCCCTAAGTGAACCAACAGAAGACTTCACACTCTTCCAACAGCCTGATCTTTGAATCAATACATCTAGAAGTGCCCAGTCTAAAATGTATACACTGACCTAGGACAGATTTGTAGTTAAACTGCAACTCAGAATCTCACATGTATTAATGATGATAACTTATCAACTTCTAGCAAAATTGACAGGTGACTAAGAACCGAGTTTTGGAACCCTGTCTCCAATGCCCAGCACGATGCCTACAGATACCTGAATGAACACACTGCGCGGATGCTGTCCTCCGCGGCTTTACCCTAGAACTGAAATAGATGCTCTGTCGGAGTAACGCATTAACCTTTGTGACAGAAAGGCCAGCACCTGAGCACAGAATTAAGGTAGGAAGTAGTTCCTACATTTCTACACGCAGGCTTCCTTCCGAGAGCCCAGCGCTCACCTGAGCCTTGGGGATGGTCTGACTCACGAGGCCGCTGTCTGCACGCGTGTCATCTGGTGAGGAGATGAGAGCATCGGAAGGGAGGCGGCCAGAGGACGGAGACGAGTGGTCATGGTCCAGAATGAGCTCCGGAGAAGCTGGTGAGAGACGCACTCCGGACACTGAAGACAGAAGCACAAGAACCATGTTGGAAGACAACATAGAGACAGGGAAGGTGGCTAGGATGGTGTGGGGTAGAGCAGTAGAGGTGGAAAACCAACACTGTGTGACTAACGTCTGAAGTCCAAAGGAGTGTTTCTGAATTACAGGTGATGTTTCCATGGGTCACACACAACATGTTTTAAAGTCGTTAGCACACACACTAGCCTAGCCCCCTGGAGATGTCCATTTCCCAGCAGAGGAAATGTCCAGCCGACGACACAGTACACAGTACTGGTGTGGCCGAGGGTAAAGGCAGGAGGCATCGGGAGACACTGTCACATACCAGTGACCCTGGCCCCAACCTAGCGGGGCTCAACAGCTAAACATTCACTGCAGCAAAGCAAAGATGGAGGAGAGCTGCTATAAAACCTGGAAGTTCCTCTTACGTAATAAATTTATTTTTAAGTTTTCATGTTAAAGTCAATCTTCACTTACTGGACTGTTTCCACAAAAGTAATGCTGAAGGACAGTTTCGCTATCATTAAGGCTCTTATTAGAAGGTTAAGGAAGCAGCTGACTGACAAGTACAAAAAAAGACAAAAATGCAAATAAGAAAAAAACAGATATTTATATTACTTTATTTTAAATGCTCCCAAAGAGTCAACTGAATCTAATCTGCTTTGGAATGTAAGGAGCTATCTTTGGCAGTCACCTCATTCCCACACCCAGCGGCCTAACTGCAATGACCTTTATTCCACATTGGCATCGGTAGCTCTGTCCTCGGGTCCTATCACAAACTCTGAAGGTGGCTCACAATGGAGATTGCGTGTTCCCCTGAAGAAAGACACACAGAAGGCAGTAAATTCTAATGAGCTAAATGCACAGATTTCTGATTGTTATTTTAAGGAATTGCTTAGTTATGTAAAAGTTTATTGTCTCTAACAACGTTGTGCACACTGAATAAGAGGGTGCAGATAAATATAATTTAATAACAAATAACCATGTACAAAAATCTCAAAAGAAAATTAATTTTAAAAAAGGAAATCATTTAGCTGCAGAATAAGCTTCTTTCTGAACTTAAATCAGTGTGCACAGGTGTGTGTCTGTGTGCGTGAGTGCCTATGTGCATGTGTGTATGTCTATGTGTCTAGCTGCACAAAGGGGTACTTCAAATTTTTCAACTCAAACACAAAAAAGTAGAACTTTAATTCAAGTTTGAACTTGATATATATTTTTCAGAATTTTCCCAAATCCTCCCTGCATTTGGTTACAGTGAATTGTCTAAAAAGGTTAAAACATCTGTATGATGAACTCTGAGAGCCATGAACAAAGTACTGCCTGGCACCACAATGTCACACCGAGCACAGAACAGTGAAGAGCAGCCTGTTCTTCTGTCCTTCCACGTCTTCGGAAGGTTTGAAAGCGTTTAGCATACTGTGGTTGTCACAGATATTAAACGTCCTGGACAAAATGTGTTCAGGAACAAACCCAGCAGTACCACCCTGTGTTCTGTCAACCTGACACAAGCTGGAGTCATCTGGAAAGACAGAAGCTCAAATGAGAAAATCCCCCACCAGAGCGGCCATGGGCAAGCCTGGGGTGCACTTCTGCATTTGCATCCTCTATGGCATAAGGAAGCAGGCCGAGTGAGCCGTGGAGAACAACCCAGCAAACACATTCTTTCATGGCCTCTCTATCATCTCCTGCCTCCAGGTTCCTGCGCTGACTCTCACTAGTGGACTGTGGTAAGGGTCTGTAAGCTGAAATTAAACCCTTTCCTCCCCAGATTTCTTTTAGTCATGGTGTTTTATCACAGCAGTAGAAACCCCTAATTAAGACAGCCCTAATGCCTGGGTATTTCACCAACTTTGGCAATCACATCTACGGTCATGATTTAGAACAAAAGGCTATGACTGAATACCCAAGTTCATCACATGAAAAAAGAGAGGGGAAGGAAAGAAGAGAGAGAGGAAGGGTGGGAAAGAGGAGGAAAGGAAGGAAGGAAGGAGGGAGGGAGGGAGGGAGGGAGGGAGGGAGGGAGGAAGGGCAGTAGGCAGAAAAGCTGAAGGATGAGAAAAGGAAGAAAGTAAAAAGAGAGCATGAGGAGAGAAGAGGTTACAGAAGGAAAAAGAGGAGAGAGGAGGGCCTGGCTCTCAGACAGGCACCCCCATCCCCCCACACACACACACACAAGCACCTTCCCCTTCATAACCACACTTCTTCGGCAGATGGTAGCCCATCTCCACCTTCCTCACTCTCATTCAGCCCAGTCCCCTGCAGCTGTTACTTAAGGCCCTACTGGCCCTTCGAACACTCACTCTGCTCTCTGGACCCCTTCAAGTGCACACAGGCAGCCTGCCCCTTCCTTCAGTCACTCCCAGGCCCATTACTGGACCTCCTATGGCCCGCAGAGCAATGGAAACTGAGCGCTCCCCGGCCCTCTTGGCCATGTGCCTACCTGATTACCACAAGGATCCATCTAGATGTTGACTACCAGTTCACAGCTCGCAGATCAGCCTCATGGCTCACTCTCCGTTAACTCAACACTGGATCTGCCAGGCCAGCGCCACCTCATGCGTCACACTGCTGCTGGCATCTACAGTTCTGTCACATGGCCCAGGCCTTTATGACATCACAGAGCCACTCCAAACACAAGCCAACCCAAGAGTCGGACTCGGCTCCAGTGTGAACAACGGACAATTCCTTGTTGGTCAGCTTTAGACAAGTTACACGGACTCTTCAGAGTCACGGCTTCCTCTTTCAAAGGAGAGAAATAACAGGCAACTCGAGTTACCCCAAGATATTTTATGCTCTTTGTGGCTATCGTGAAAGGTGATGCTTCTCTGATTTCCCTCTCTGCTTCCATATCCTTTGTGTATAGGAGGGCAACTGATTTTTTGGAGTTGATCTTGTATCCTGCCACATTACTAAAGGTGTTTATCAGCTGTAGGAGTTCTTTGGTAGAGTTTTTGGGGTCGCTTATGTATACTATCATATCATCTGCAAATAACGAAAGCTTAACTTCTTCCTTTCCAATACGAATTCCCTTGATCCCCTTATGTTGTCTTATTGCTATTGCTAGAACTTCAAGCACTATATTGAAGAGGTATGGAGAGAGTGGACATCCTTGTCTTGTTCCTGATTTTAGTGGGATGGCTTTGAGTTTTTCTCCATTTAATTTAATGTTAGCTGTCGGTTTGCTGTAGATAGCTTTTATTATATTTAGGTATGACCCTTGTATCCCTATTCTCTCCAAGACCTTTATCATAAAGGGGTGTTGAATTTTGTCGAATGCTTTTTCAGCATCTAATGAAATGATCATATGGTTTTTTTCTTTCAGTCTATTTATATGGTGGATTACATTGATAGATTTGCGTATGTTGAACCAGCCCTGCATCTCTGGGATGAAGCCTACTTGATCATAATGGATAATTTTTCTAATGTGTTCTTGAATTCGGTTTGCCAGTATTTTATTGAGAATTTTTGCGTCGATATTCATGAGTGAGATAGGCCTGTAATTCTCTTTCTTGGTTGGGTCTTTGTGTGGTTTTGGTATCAGGGTAACTGTAGCTTCATAAAAGGAATTTGGCAATGACTTTTCTGTTTCTATATTGTGAAATACGTTAAGGAGTATAGGTATTAGCTCTTCTTGGAAGTTCTGGTAGAATTCTGCGTTGAACCCATCTGGTCCTGGGCTTTTTTTGGAAGGGAGATTTTTGATAACAGTTTCTAGTTCTTCGCGACTAACAGGTCTATTTAGATCATTCACCTGGTCTTGGTTTAGCTTTGGTATATGGTACTTATCTAAAAAAATGTCCATTTCTTTTGCATTTTCCAGTTTTGTGGCATACAGGCTTTTATAGTAAGATCTAATGATTCTCTGGATTTCCTCTGTGTCTGTGGTTATGTCCCCCCTTTCATTTCTGATTTTATTTATTTGCGTGTTCTCTCTCTGTTGTTTAGTTAGTTTGGATAGGGGTTTGTCGATCTTGTTGATTTTCTCCAAGAACCAACTTTTTGTTTCATTGATTCTTTGGACTGTTTTCTGTGTTTCTATTTTGTTGATTTCTGCCCTCAGTTTGATTATTTCCAGTCTTCTACTCCTTCTGGGCACCTCTGCTTCTTTTTTTTCTAAAGCTTTCAGGTGTGCCATTAAGTCCCCAATGTATGCTTTCTCTGTTTTCTTTAAGTGGGCACTTAGTGCTATGAACTTTCCTCTTAGCACTGCTTTCATCGTGTCCCATAGGTTTGAGTATGTTGTCTCTTTATTTTCATTAAATTCAAGGAAGACTTTAATTTCTTTCTTAATTTCTTCCTTGACCCAGGTGTGGTTCAGTAGTTGACTGTTCAGTTTCCATGAGTTTGTCGGCTTTCTGGGGGTAGCATAGTTGTTGCCATCTAACTTTAATCCGTGGTGATCTGATAAGACACAGGTGGACACTGATATTCTTTTGTATCTGTGGAGGTTTCCTTTGTTTCCGAGTATATGGTCAATTTTTGAGAAGGTTCCATGAGCTGCAGAGAAGAAGGTATATTCTTTCCTATTTGGGTGGAGTGTTCTGTAGATGTCTGTTAAGTCCATTTGCTTCATTACCTCCAATAATTCTCTTAATTCTCTATTAGGTTTCTGTCTGATTGACCTGTCCATTGGAGAGAGAGGTGTGTTGAAGTCTCCTACTATTAGTGTGTGTGGTTTTATGTCTGCCTTGAGTTTTAGAAATATTTCTTTTACATAAGTGGGTGCTTTTATATTAGGGGCATAGATATTCAGGATTGAGATGTCATCCTGATGAATTGTTCCTGTTATGAGTATAAAGTGTCCATCTCGATCTCTTCTGATTGATTTTAGTTTGAAGTCAGTTTTGTTGGAAATTAGTATGGCCACACCTGCTTTTTTGTTAGGACCATTTGCTTGAAAGACCTTTTCCCAACCTTTTACTCTGAGTAGATGCCTGTCTTTGTGGTTGAGATGTGTTTCTTGCAAACAGCAGAATGTTGGATCCTGTTTACGTATCCAATCTCTTAGCCTGTGCCTTTTTATGGGTGAATTGAGACCATTAATATTAAGTGATATTAATGACCAGTGGTTGTTTACTCCGGTTATTCTTATTGTTTTTGGTAGTAGCGTTTGTGTGTCTCCCTTCTTTGAGTTGTGCTGGTGAAGGTTCACTAGACACCGGAGTTATTGTAGGCACTGTTGGCAATGCTGGTTTCCTTAGGTTGTGATTTTCCTTCTATTATTTTCTGTAGGGCTGGATTTGTGGCTACGTATTGTTTAAATTGGTTCTTATCTTGGAATGTCTTGTTTTCTCCATTGATAGTGAATAATAGCTTGGCTTCACTACTATTATAGTGAATAGTAGTTTGGGTTTACATCCATGGTTAGACCGTAAAAGGCTAATCAACCCAATTATAAAATGGGGCACTGAGCTGAACAGAGATCTCTCAACAGAAGAAGTTCAAATGGCAAAAAGACACCTAAGGTCATGCTCAACTTCCTTAGCGATCAGGGAAATGCAAATCAAGACAACTTTAAGATACCATCTTACACCTGTCAGAATGGCTAAAATCAAAAACACCAATGATAGCC